GCTGCAGTGTCAGGAATCAGAGTATGGATACAGAAATGCTTATATGCAAAGGATACAATTCATTCAAACTATAAAAAGAATTGGTTTAATAATTTCAGGTTGTGTACCTATCACACAACTTTCATTGTAAATCTTGTGGTTTTTTCATTTCAAATAGATTTCTTTTCATTGTGTGAGAATTTCTTTGTAAAATAGGAAAACAAGATCATACAGAAATCTATAAAGGAAATACACAGGAAGATATTTCTCCCATTGTGTTTCAATTTATAATAATCACTGAAGTATAATTTTAGCAAAGAATATAACGATGCCTAATGATATATCTCCTTCAATTTATTACTCTACAAAAATAATTAAATTGTGATAAAGAAGCAGTAGTTAAAAACATACTGTGGTAGTGAAACACACTAAGCATCCAGATGAACTGAAGTTATCTCACTGGCTAAAGGAAAATTCAATAGCATATTTTCAAATGCATCACTGGGAGCACATGCTTAGCTTTTCAGGTCTTTTCTTGTAATGCTTGTACTCTCTGTGTACTTTGTACTTTATCTGTAGGAAAAGAGGTAATAGAATTGTGCATGCTTTTGGTTTGTCAGTTATTCTGTGTATATTTTGTTAAAGCAAAAGCCTTTTCTGGAGTTGCTATTCATCTTGCTCCCCCCTCTCCTCCCAGCAATTTTGGCACAACCACATATCACACTCAGTGATTCAAAGACAATTTCTTATTTTTTTGGCTGTTACAACCTAAAAAATTAGGTTTGGATTTTTCCCACAGCAAGTGTGTGTTGCCCTGTGCCTTTCTGTGGTCCTGCTGGCCGTAGCTGCCTTAGAGTGCTTCCTTCTGCCCTTTTCTGCTGGACCTGTACACTTCTCCTTCTTCACATCCTTCTTCTTTAACACTTATTGGCTCTGAGCAATTCAGTTAGTATGGTTTTTACTTTTTTTTTTTTTTTTTTTTTTTTTTTTTTTTTTTTTTTTTTTTTTTTTTTTTTTTTTTTTTTTTCTCACCTTCCCCCACCAAAACAAAACCCAAACCCTGGGATTTCATTTTTCTTCTTGAATTGCACAAATGTTCTATGAAGTAGAAAAAGGAGATGATAATTATAGAGTCAGATTCTTCTTTCCTCTTGGTGTAAGACAAATACACTCAGTGATATAATGGCAGAATGTGTGAAGTAGGAGTGGAATTCGGCTCTTATAAGGCTGGAAAATTTTAAGACAGAAGCTGATTGTTCTTAGCTGTATGTTAGAGGTATTTTGTCTGAATAATGGGTAACAGAAGACTAATTTAGCATATTCTAGATTTTTTTAATACTGCATTGAAACTTTGCTAAAGAATGCTGTATTCTCTCTTTTCAAAAGAATTTGATGGCAATTGGCAACTAAAACTTTTTTTCATAGGAAACAAACACAAGTCTAGAATATTCACCAACAAAGAGGTTTGATGATTAGCACATACATCACTTTTAAAAGTACTGCAATATAGTATATTTAATGGTTAACACAACAGAAATTTTGTTCTTCTGTCTGGGTAAATTCTGTAGCCTTTCAATGTATTATTTAATTTAAAATGAAAAAAATACAACAAGGGTGGGGAAGATAAGATGTTTAAATTTATGGGTGGTGGGATATAGTGCCTGTCAGTCCAGTTCAGTGATACTCTTACCAAACCTCCTTCATATAAATAAAAAATAGATGCTGATGTTAAACCCAACTTTTGGTGTGTACAAGTAAATAACAATTATGTATGACATACATGTGTGTATTTATGTAACAATGAAGAAAGAGAGGTGATCTGACGTGTATCCAACTGCATACATTTTTAATCTAATATATTTAGAAAGTACAGAAGTGACTGCTATTCCCTTGGCACTAATAAGGTAAACAGAACTTCCGACCATGTGTGGATTACATGCCTTGTAATCCATAAAAATTGTTGTGTACTAGAAACTAGATATTTGTGATGTATTTACATTTCTGTTTCACAGGTTTGTGATGTGCTAGTGTATGAAGGTATGATTCTTGAATATCCTAATAGATACTGGCACTGCACTTTGATTATTTTGGTATGTTTAGTGTGTGATGACCTCATTTTACAATGTAAAATTGAATGGAAATGCATTTGCAGTTAAAAAACAACATAGTCAGATACCAGCTAATACTTTAGAGACAGAGAACGTGGAAATTGGCAGTGCTTGCTTGTGTTTCTGAGATGTGGTTGCTTGTGTTTCTAAGATATGTTTGCTGGAATTAATATTTTTGGTGTCCTGTACAATTCTGCTTGCCTTAGGCTGAGTGGTGTGAAATGTAATTGAACTAATGATTCACTGTGGTGAGATCATTTTAAAGAATGTAGTGGGCTTCTTATTGTACAATACTGTGGCATAAATTTGCCCTTTTTTCTTCAGCGATGCTGCCTCTTTGCATTCTGTTTTAGTCTATCTGTCAAGCACCCACACCGTCATATCACTCCTGGAATCCTCTTGTGTCTGTAGGATATGTAGTGTGTCTTCACAATTTACTTTTTATTTTGTCTTGTGTTAAATTTGTCATGTGGTACAGATAATGTACGGTTCTGTTTTATGATGGCTTCTGGGTGTATGTAGGATGGCACAGATTCTTACTTGTATTCCTTCCTGCTGTATGTAGAATTTTCTTCTGCAGCCCTCAAAGTGTACTCCAATAAGTTCCCCTTTTTAAAATTTATTGAAGATGAAGAATAGTAAAAATGAAGCTGCTTATATTTGGAAAGGCAATCAATGAGTGTGATCGACACAGCCTTTAAAACTGGGCTTAATCTCTTTGGGCAATTCCTAGGCTGCTCTTCCTCGGCTATGAAGTACTGCTTCATTGCATCAGATTTTCTAATGAATGAGCTTTTAACACTAAATGTGTAATTCTTGAGGTTTTATTTAATTTTAAGAAGTAAGGTTATGTTGTCAAGAAACCTTTCAAGTCTGAAAGCTTTTCTAAATGCTTTTTTTCAGATAAGGACATGATGTAGACTTATTAATCTGTTCATTATAATTTCTACTTTCCTTCTTTTTAAATGAATGAGTAGTATCTTTCATTTAAGAATACTGTATTGGAAGATTAGTAATCACTGAAATCATGTTATGATATTAACCCTACACATCCCAGCTTCTCCTGCTTCTAGTGTTCAAAATACAAAGGGTAGCTGGAAAGGGAAATGAAGAAGTGGTACAAAAAAGAAAAAAAAAAGTTTTTTTTTTAATATTTTGGGTGCATTTCTTTTCAGAGATTATTCCCAAAATAATTTTTTAAAGTGGTAAATGTGGAGGATATGGGATTTAAAAAAAAAAAAAAAAGCTTATTGCATTTACTTCCTCTCTGCCGCCTCTCAAATAAGATGTAGGATTTCAATTTTTGTAGGAAATCAGAGATAACTTGGATTTAAAAAGTGCTTTAAATGGGTACAATTGAATGCAGGTATTTTGGGGCCAGTTTCCACAAAAAAAGCCAGTGAAAATATGAAAGTATTTTTGAATATATGTTACACAGTAATTTCACATCATTTCACATCAATCAGATAATAACATTTCTAGGTAGAATTTAGGTGATCAGAAGTTGCTATTCTTTGTGGAATATGGAGCTCTAGTATTACATTTTGAGTCTTCTGTTCTGGTAAGCTAAGGCCTGAGCTCAAGGTACATTACAAGTACTTTTTTAAGCACAAAACCAGTTTTGGCTATACATATATGATTAATAATTTAGCTATGTGGTGGAAAAGAGCTTTTTGTTCCCTTAAAACTGCGCCTTTTTTTGTACGCAACTTCAGAAAAGTGCTTTAGAAATCCTAATTTTTTATGTAATGTTTTAGTCAAACTAGCTCTTGTATTCAAGGGTATGATCTGCTTTTTTATATAAGATAATAGTTATTGAGAATTAGCATTTTAAATATACTGGTAACTGGTGACACACTGATCAGTTTATGTAACAAGAGGAGTAAAATCATGCTCATTGATTTTGCAGCTTTTTGTTTTGTTTCCCCCTCCCTGCCACTGCTTCATCTAAATTAAGACATTTTTAAGCATGGCATGGTGCAAACAACTTGACAAACTTATGTTTGGATAAATATCTTAATTCTTGCTTACAGTGCTATGGATGATGATAACTTCATAAGGCTTCTTGATACTTCAATGCAGGTTTAGGATGAAATTGAGGAAGACAATGTAGAACAAAGGTATGCCACGGCTGCCCAGGAAATGCAGGAATATGGTAACTGGCAGTATTGGTGATTGGTTTCTGACAATGCAATTGAATGGCTAGAGCTGAACACAGTGGAAAATAACAAAGTTGTCACAGGCAGGAAAAATTACCTTCTACTTTAGCTGTGGCATTTAGCAATCATATCTATGTAGATAGATGGTATGAATGAAAAATTCCTGTATGAAAGGTCCTTGTGTCACACAAGAGGTCAGCGTGAAAAATCTAAGCCTTTGCACAGGGTTAACTCGGTTGATTGTGTTTTAGCATCAGCCAAATAATTTTCTCGTCCATGCTTTTTTCCTTCATTTAACCTTTTACCACTGCCCTGTCTTTTGTAAGTATTCAAAGTTGTGTATTTTCCATGTAGAAATTGTGGATCTGAGATTGTATATGCAAAACTTTTTACTTTTCTTTAAGAGTACTGTCAATTTTTGGACCAGCATGAATTTTTTCCCCATATCAAAAGCTTCTGAACCATTCACTGAAGGACACAATGTAAATGGCTTTTTTCTGTGCATGGTAGTCGCCTGCTGGAGAAGACTGAAATAAGTGGAATATCTAAATATGAGGTCAAAATGCATCCAGGTTGTAGATGCATAATATTCAGAATACTCTGATCAATATTGTTTATGAATTAAATTAAAACCACCGTATAGTACAAAATGGTGAATTTGTGCTATAGAAAAGTATTCCCAAGTGCAATTTTTGCTTAAAAATTCTTTTATATTTACAGAGAAACTGAGCCATACAAATATTTTTAAAAGTTTGCACTTCTTTAAGGCTATTTATTTTCTAAAAAAAGAGGACTTGAATATTTTTGACAAATATACACATGGTGTTACGCTAACAAACAGCCATGCAACATATATCTTACATAATGAAGAAATTGAATATACAAGACCTACTCTATTTAACATATATATTGAAAATATACAGTCTCGCCAATAGTTAAAAAAGTTTTTCTTATTTGGCAGTATTTTTTTTACAATTTGTTCAAATATTCCGTTTGATGTGTTTTGGTGAATACTGAAATCTAGTCAGTGACAACCTGAGGTACTAAACATTTCTGTCTTACTTCACTGTCTTCAAAGGTAATCTTTTTGTTCCTTTTAGGCTCTATCCATGAGTTGTGTATTACAGCGTTATTTGGGAGGGGATCTGCTTCCACTATTGAAACAACTCGCTTTTTCATCTTACTTTTCAGAACTTTCTGAAACTTTTGCCTCGTGAACGCGTAAAGTAGAGGGTGAAATATAGTTGTTCCATATGCCATTACTAGAAAACATAATCTCAACTTTACCAAAAGGTCACTTGGGCCTAAACATAAGATAGTGGTGTTTAAAACAGAGATGGGTGTCCAGCAGAGAAGGAAGGTTGAGATAATCAGAAGGGACATTCTGAAGACTCTCTTTTGCCGTTCTCGTCGCTCCCGGTGCCGTTTTACAGCTCGGCGCAGAGCGATTATGACAGACACGGAAGTCCTTACACCAAAGACGACGTTTTTTCCTGCACTGCTGTGGGACACATCCGTAGTCTCATGCTGCGTGGTCAAAGAAATAGTTTTTTTCTTTCTGTTTTTCTTCTTTTGTCCCGTTGTAAATCTTGTACCAATCCGAATATTTAGGGCCTGGAGTATTTTGGTGTATGTGATTAGCATTACTATAACAGTGAAGAAAAATATTGGGATCTGAACGAGAATGTGGTAGTACATTCCTAGCTCAGTGTGGTACTCGTTTGTACTCACGCACAGAAGTGTCTTATTTTCCCAAGTACTTGCACTCTGAAGACTGAAAAAGTTGACTTCAATGAAAGGAATCAGGAAGGAAAAAAGTGAAATGATCCATATTGATGTCATTAATATCACAGCCCTTCCCATGGTCAGGATTCGATTAGCAGGTTTTACGGAGATGTCGTATCGGTCCAGCGTGATAGCGAAGACGTTGATTGCAGTTGAAACGCTTGCAAAAGAGACACAAGCCTCATGGAAGCAGCAGATGAGAGCAGTGTTACTCTCCAGTGAAAGCAGAAGGATAACTATAGTTAGAGGAATACATCCCACACAAATTATTACATCAAGTACATGAAGGTTCATTGTAATTATGTTACTGACAGAATTGATTAAGTTGGATTTCATACAGTAAAGTACCAGCACGGTGAGGTTGCTGCCAAGTCCCAAAACAATTTCTAACATCAAAAATCCAGTGAGAGAAACTTGAAAGCTTAATGGATATGACAGTGGTTGGTACATGTTGGTATCGATGTCATCAATGGCATCTCGAACTGTAATGTTAGATTCGGACTGCATGTTGACTTCCAGAATGGGGGACAAACACATTCTTTTGTTGCAGCTGGTTTTTCTCCTGAAAGGTGAAATAAAATATGGGACTATGTGATTTCTTTTTTTAACACTTATCGTAGATAAATGCTGGGGAAGGAGGAGGGAGGAAAACAAATATTCTTACCAAACTCTTCATTTACAGTATATTTAGAGCTTTAATTGGCATGGACTCAAAAGCCTGAAGATCTAGAATAAGGTCTTTGCTTTTTGAAAGAAAGCAGGATTTGTTTGAAAGAAGAAAAAATAGTGAAAAGCTTCCACTTAGGGAGGCAAGCCTTTGTTTATAGTGATGTGGTTTTTCACAAAGGGCTCATTTGTTGAATAAACCATACTTTGTGCATAGTCTTTGTATTGCTTTGAGGGTCATTTTAGAAGAATGTTGTTAAGTATTAACAAATTAGTGATCAAGATCATTTTAAAAAGCTCTTGTGGAAAAAGAAGTGATAGGAACATGGAACACTGTTGCTTATGTATCATAAAAAGGATATTTAAATTATTTATGCCAATTTATCCACCTCTTTCTTGTAAGGTTTACAGTAGTGCTGTGGACTGAAATGTGACGTTCTGCAATTCACCAGATTTTTACAGAGTTTAAAACCTCCTGTTCATTTTAATCTTCTGTGTATCTATGTGTATGATGCTTGCCACTACAACAACTTTATATAAGTGCATATAATTTCAAATGCAAAACTTATGTGGGTTTGGGAAATTGAGTTGATTACAAAATACTACATTTCCTTTTTCTGATTTGAATTTTCAGTTTCTTCAAGAAATATATGCCTACATGGAATGGAAGAGTATTTAATTTTGTTCCAGAATATATTTAAGGGAATAATTTCAGCAGAGAATATTTAAAAAGAAAATTGTCTCTTTCAGGTTTTGATTATGGTTTGTTGGGTTTTTTTTTTTTTTAATACAAACTGCAATCAAACCAAGCAGATTTATATACATAGCGTGTTTCTCTTAGGAATAAGTAAGGATCAAAAAGGTATTTATTTTATCTAGCAGATTTTTTATTTTGTGTCTCATCTGCTTAGTTTTACACATACGGGTAAGTTCTAAATATAGCATCGGCATGTAATGCCTGATGTTTGTATGGTTTATATCGTCAGCCAGCTCTTGAGTTTGTAATTGATTGAATAAATAAAAGAGAGGTTATTCAATTTCTTGTTATGATACTGGAGGGATTTTTTTCTAGGTAGCTTTAAATTTAAGAGGGGACATATTTGGCATGAAAATAAATTGAATGTCGACTTTTGTTCTATTCTGAATGCATTAAAATGGATAGCACTAAGGTGAACAAAATTGAGCTCTTTTAAAATGAAAGTATGAATTAAGCACACTTGGGATACAGTATGCAAATGGATTTCATCTGCAGTTCTGAAAAGCCTCAGTTGAACAATACTATTAATTGCAAATTGTATGATGAAAATTCTTGGTATTCTTCAACAGCTATTTCACATGTACCTCTTAAATAAAAAAGATGTAAATTAGAACGTATTACTCTCAGGTGTGAAATGAAACAAGAAATATTTCAAAAGCTTTGTTTCATTTCTAATTCAGACAACTTCTATCTGTGTTACATTAACCCTCAGGGATATGATCTCCTCTTGCATGCTGTCCTGGCTGTGAATGGGTTTCAAGAAACCATTCCAAATGCATTGTAGAATAAATGAAGTTCTTTTGTATTAGCAAAAGCCAGGAAGAAATCAAAAGCAGATCTGCTAAAACAAATGACAGTCTCACCCTAACATTATAGCAACCGAGATTTTGTGAAAACAGAGAACCTCAGATGTGTTATTAGGTCGCCATGAATAGATCAAGCATCACCTCGCTGTTGCACTGCCTCGGTTTGGGGAGGCAGAGCAGTGTGGGCAGGAGCTGGTTCGGGCTGCGCCGCGCGGGCAGCGCCGGGGCACCTACCTGTCCTGTGTGCCTCAGGGGCCTGGCACAGCGCGGCAGCAGCTGGGCACAGACTGACACATGCTGTCACTGAGACATTGCTGACACGCACTGTAACCTGGAAATCAAGCGGTAGCTGAGCTCTTATTTCATTTCTTGCAGGGTTTTTTGTTTTCCTTTTTTTTTTATTCCTGCAGTTCAGCAGCAAAAAGTTCTGATTAAACATGGGGACTTCTTAATTGCCTCAGATACTTCTACAGACCAGGGCATATTCTGTGTGTCTGTTCTGAGTTTCAAGCCAGCAATAGCAAATAAACCTTCTTTTAAGTGATGTTAATTTCCTTCCCCTGTTGCATTTTGTAGAAGCCTGTTTTTATTTTCCAGGTTCAAAGAATAATATTTTCTGATCTCTGTTTTCAGAGTGTGTGTAGACATCCTTAGTTTATGGTTGCGTATTTCTTTCTGTAATATTCCTGCTCATTACTTTTGAGTGATGGCTTAGTGAAAGAAGTTGCTATACATCATAAAATCCAGTTCATGTGCTTTGAGAGTAACCATTGGTTACCTAATTTGGTTTATTTTGATTTAAGGAGAATACATAGCATCATAAAATTGAGAGAAAAATATCCATTAGTCATTATGACAAGTAAGTTATTCAATGAGTAGTATAGAAAAAGCTTGGTTAAACCTTTATTCAGCTTGCTGATGAAGTATGCATATTCTCCTTTTGGGGTTTCATGTTTCATTGTCTCTTCATGCATCAGTAGTTTCCACAATTCTGGTTTTAAATTATAAATCCCTCTTTAAGAAATGCTCACCATTTTAAGAATCAAGCATTGCACTCTTCTTTTAATAAAAATCTGAGCAGATGTGTTAGTCTTCCATGTATATTGTTGAAGTGTCATGCACGTAAATGGTAATGCAAGTGTGTTCCATGTTTTGTTTTTAAATCCTTTATGTCTTAAGAATACATTTTAGGGATGCATCCTGCTGCTCGTAGGTCATACAGCTACAAAGATACCCGGTCAACTGCATTCTTCATATTGTCAGTAGTAAAACTGAATTAGTTGCTGCATGCCCTTGTGAAGGGGAGGAAAAAAAAGGTTAAAAGTAGGGCTTATAATTTCAAAAAAAAAGTAATGCAAGAATGTTTTTTTTAATATCACTTATTTCATGAATAAAGGATCTCTAAAATTGGACCTTATAGAATACATAGCAAATCAGTTTGCCTGCTCTCTATTTGCTAGTAAAATCATATTCTTCTGTCAGCTTACATGAATTTAGGTTTTTTGGACAAGTTTCCTGTTCTCCAGATAGTACAGGTTACAAAAAATCCTGGCTAGCAATAACTGTTGGATGCAGAGTGTCTGTGACTAAAGCTAGAAAATGTAGTTCTATAGCTCTGGTGAGCAGGTAGTTTATGCATACAACTCTCTTGTCTTTTAATGAGAAACTGAACAGAGTTAATGAGCCTTTTAAAAAATACACTTTTGTTTAATTTGCACACTGTTATACTTCCCTTTTTTGAAACAGACGTTTAGCAAATCCATGCTTTTAATAAATGGCTTGTATGTACAGGATAACGAAAGAAATAAGTTTAAAAAAAAAACAACAAAAAAGGGAGATTTCTTGAGCAATCAGAGATTAGTCATATGAGCCAACCTTCATAAAGCAATAAGTATGCGCTAATTACAGACTGCCTGATCCTTCGAAGAGTAACTGAATAAATCTGAAACATATTTAACTGCCAATATTTGGAAATAGTGCTGAGGGAGGAAAAAGCATATTCCCGGTTGCTTTATGTGGTTGTTTTCCCCAATACTGTATGAGCTTAAACTGTACTGTCTTCATGTTGTACGAACAAAACAGGTTCTTAATAATCTATAAGACTTTCATACAGAATAACATTTTTCTATCACTATATTTTTAATGGGGAAGGGGAAATAGAATTTAAATATTTCCTGGTCTCAAATATAACAATATATTACTGCTTAATATAAGTTGAATCTGCTCTCTTGCCTTTTTTTCTCCAATTTTTAATTTGGTTTAATGTTGCTTATTCTGCATATCATAATAAGGAACAGGTCTTACCTCCACTAAAGATTTGGTAAATTCTCGATGCAGGTGAAGCAGTTCCAGGTTGGAGGGATTCATTTTGTTCACTTGTTAGCAGAGTAGAAGGGAAAGAGGGTAATAAGCATATCTTCAAAAAATGACCTTAATGAAAATTTGTGCCTGTACTGTGCCATTGTTTCAGCATACTGCTCATGTATACAATTGCTTTAGTTCTGGTTTACAGGCTGCTGCAGTCTCCCACTCTTCCTATGGTAGAATCAATAAGCATCTGAAAATACATAATGAAAGTAATTTAACATACTGAAGGCTTCTTGTCTCCAGAGACACCACTGAGATTCAGGCTTTCTAAAAAAGAAGAGCAGTGCTTCTGAGAGGAAAGCTTGCGATGGGCAGCTTTTGCAGAATGACAGCCTACCTTGTCGCTTCTCCTCACTGCAGAGAGATGCAGTGCATTCACTAATTTTGATTGGTCAGTGATGTTGGGCTTTAATTGTGCTTCATATATGGGATTGATGCCCTCCCTCCCCCCAATTTATATAAGGATTCTTTTATAAAAGGACTAAATTTACAAATGATTTATGAATTCTGGAATATATTAAGGGTATGCCTGTTTTATTTTTACCTTTTCACTCTTTACTTTGTGTACACTGGAAACCACATGTCACTGAGAAAAAAAAAAGGGATTAAACGATTATTACTTTAAAAGCTTACAACAGTCTGTATTTGCCTACTTTCAATTTCTGAGCCTTTTAGGTGTTTGAGTTTTTTGTTTGATTTTTTTGTTTATTTGTTTTGGTTGGTTGATTTTTCTTGTCTTAAGAACATTCTGAAATAATACTGCCTCTTTAAGCCACACTGAATTTCACCGTACTTGTTTACATGCAAGTGGTCATCTGGGTTTTGTAGCAATAAGTTATATTCAGGATAACTTGATACACACACGTATATTAGGAAAATTTATGCTAGGGTGCACCGAGATTATTCAGACCCTGATAATTATTCAGACGTGATAATTTGGTTGATTCATAATCAGA